GACGGAGGTTTTGGAGAAACAAACGTCGTTAGAGAGAAATTTATTACATCCACATGTCGCAAGTTCAGTGGAACGTAGTACAACGTGTCAATTGCCACATGGTACTACCGTACTATTGTATAATTTCTCCCCATATAGGAGCCGAAATTATAAGAAAACATTATATGAAATGGACTTTAGAAACACACTTAAAGTTTATTTACAACATAACAAAAAGGCTTTTAACTTCTTTTAAATTACAAAACTGCCATTGATTTCTTAAAACAAACTCAACCCCAAAACCTCATAAAAAGCCCAAAACACTCATTAGGGCATCAAAGTAATTTAATAATCAAAATTAAATTCAATAGGGCAAGCTATCATTTTTTGGATATTTTTTGGGTTTGTTTATAGAAATTAAATGGTGTATGGTTTATTTATAATTTTAGTGCTAAGAATGGGTATATGACTAAATATCTCTTTAAAGTACTCTAATGTGTGTGATTCTAATCAACAAAAAAATTTAATTAACAATCTCGAACATGAACTTTTTTTTTAAGGGTCTTAAATTTGAGTTTGGATAGCTAGTTAGGGTTTTGGGTCTTCTATGAATCGAATACTGAAACTAAAAATGAAAATTTTCCGAAGAACTTCACTTCCATTTTCCTTTAACATGTTTTAAATCAAAGTATGAATGGCACAATGTGAGAATGTGAAGGTGAAAAATGTTTCACATTGGAAAGTTAAGAAATCTAGCAAGGGCTTATAAGGAGTTTGACTACTCCCCCCATTGCCAATTGGTTTTGGAGTGGAACCTCAACTTCTATCACACAAAGATGACCAAATGTCAACAAATTTATTCTTAACAATAAACTGAAGTCCAAGACCTGAAAGGTACAAAGATAAACAAAGCAATGGAACACACATCTTGTTACCCCATTTCTTACATATTCATCTCAACGCTTTTTTGTTAACGAGATAACCAGGTTAATGAATTGACAGTTTTCCCTTTCCATGTGATCAAGAACATCTGCTTCAAACCTACGAAACAAATCGTCCATGGGTGCTTCTCCGAATTGGCTCGCCAGAATCGGCTCTGCCAAAGCCCTTATGTGAATGGCAAATTTTGCAGCCCTTGTCTTCTTATCAAGGCCACTGTTAGCTTGGTTTATATAAGAGTCCAAATCATTTTTGAAAACTTGAAGGTTTTGCAAAGTAAATGATCCTTCAGCCTCGATCACCTCTTCGATCTCCTTGGTTGTAGGTGCATAGTATGGCATATTGAATGTGTCCAATTTTTCCTCTTCAATCAAACCCTGAAAATTCATCAAAGTACATTTCAAATTAGCAATAATTATTATGTCCCAAATCTATTAGAAATAAATATGATCTAATATTTAATTACCTCTAAAACCATGTCATTGACCTTCATTCCTACAAATTCCCAAATGCAAAGGGGATCGTCACTCTTTATGCTGCCCATGGTTGTGAGGACCATACTGCCCCCAGGGACGAGCTCTTCGGCACGTGACCTCAGAAAGACTGTGAAGTCCCTTTTGAATTGCTCCAAGTATTGCTTAAACACAGCCGGAGGGCTTGTCTTTGCTATATATATGTTCCCCTTGTTAAGTCCCTCTCCTTCTTTGGTCACCAAGCCTTTTGGAACCTACGTACACGCGTTTATGCTCATGACCCAGGGATTGATTAAGAGTAAACAGTATAATAAGGACACAAGTTGATTAAAAAAGGAAAAAAGACAGGAGGGAAAGAAAAAAAGAAGAAAAAAATTTAAACCTCAGAGATCCAGTGGAGAGCATAAGAAGAGTGAACAAAGTGCAGAGAATTGTTGGGGAAGAGCCTGCCATAGAAAGAACCAGGCATTCCTGCAATAAAACATGACCCAAACTTCTTCTCATGTTCTTCATCAAGTTTCTTATAGAAGCCTGGCAATGACCTGAACACCGTGTTGAAATCGTTT